GTAAACTGAGCAAATACAAGCATTATTATTGAAGATGATCTTCTCACCATTAGCTTCGGGGATCTTCTACAGCTACTTGCTCTGAAGCCCATCAAGGCAATCAGATCCAGAATAAAATTTTCTGGTTAGGCTTCTGTGAAATGGGTGCAATTTTTGGGTGGAATCTGAGGTAGGGATGGTTCCAAAAGCTCATTTTGGTGCCCCACTCCAGCTTTGGAGGTTATGCCATGAACAACCTTGCCCTGAATGTATGGGCGCTCCTGCCCTTTATGTTGCCTTTTAGTTCTTAAGCAATGAAATGACCAACAAGAGTATATGCAGTTTATGGAATACGCTTTTCTATTTTATAGAACAAAGAGAGACTCTTATTTGATGAGAAGAATCGATTTTCCTCAAAGGTTTTCTGGAAGTCCAAACCGGTAAAGCTTTGAAATTGCAGTCACTCAATGGCAGGGTTGGAGGGAAACCCTCTGGCTCTGAAAGTGCGTTAACCTGAAAGACCTGTATATAGTCGACGTCTGGGTGCGGATGAACTATCAGCGCAGCCCCTCCCAATTTGTGGGCCAGGGTATTCGGATAATCTGCTGATGGAATCTTGTTCCTAGTTTGAATTTGAAATGGGAATCGACCAAATGCCCTATTAGAATCTCTAGCGTGATCCTTTTGCGACATTGTGACCGTTTTTTGTGGCGAGGATTTGAAAGTTGTGGAACGAGTCAGCGGAATTGGTAATTTGAAAAGACAAACCCGCGTAATCTTACTACATGATGAGATTGAGTCCCTTCATGACATCCAAGTTGGGTTTATGGGATATCGTTGGTGCCCATGTGTCTGAATTCTTTTTTTTAGAGAAAAATGTGAAACATTCGAGAAAAAAATCAATCTCTACTTGAACGAGATTAAGAAAGAAAAAGTGAAGAGAAATGGCCGAATGGACACATTGCACTCACATCGCCATTCTCATTTTGTATCCCGGAAATGGTATGTGAAGGTTGTTGCTGGGATCTCCAATTGTTAGATAGTGTGCAGTGATCCAACCATGATTCTGTGGAGCACTTCATCTGTGTTCGTGAATATTTGTGGGCGGAGTTGATTGAAGGTTTGTTCACGTATATCCTTTTGAATGCATTTCAGCATTCTTCCTCCTGGTCGCGATTGTCATCTTCGTAATCCTCTGCGAGTTCCCTGCGCACTTTTGTGAAAGGCCCGTGCTATTGGTATTGATCCCAAGCGACCTATTCCTGCGTTGATGTTCTTTCTAGACGGGAAGGTCTAAATCACTGCCCGTGATCTAATCAATCGCACCATTCCGCGATTTCCGCCTCATTTGACGGGCAACGAACAGTTCATTGGTTTTCTGACATCTTTTCACTACTACACTGTGATGCCAAACCGGAGCTATCCTAGTTGGGGGGGACCCAAGCGCAAAACTACGTCTATATAGATGTCGCTAAGAATGGCACACTGAACGTTCTTGGTGGACACACTTGAATCGTTCAACAACCCTGTTCTGTTGATCCTGTGGTATGCTATCGTTAGCCTTACCATCAGTCCATTTTATTCTCCATTCAAATTCATTACTGACTCAATGTGAATTTCAATGTGAATTGACACTTGCATTGTTTCATTGGAATTCTGCTGAGACTGAATTTGGGGGGCGGTTAGGTAAAGTTAGGTTAGGTCAGGTTATGTTAGTTAAAATATGTACTAATGTTAATTAAAATAATTAGTAATGAACATGTAAAATCCATGGTTGATATATTTTTTAACTAACATAACCTGACCTAACCTAACTTTACCTAACTGCCCCTAAAGTCAGTTTTTGCAGAAAACTTAAGTCAGGTTGTGTAACCTAAAATATTTTCAATGAACACTTTTTAAAATGTATGTGTGAAATACTTTTTGCTGACATAACCTGACCTAACCTAACTTCACCTAACCGCCCCCCAAATTCAGTCTCAGCAGAATCAGAAATAACAGTGCCAGTGTCAATTCACATCTCAATTCAAATGCACAATTGGATTTGTAACTGCATAGAGAATAAAATCGGACCGGTGGTAAGGCTGACGATAGCATACCTCACCGGCAGCACAGCAGGGCTGTTGGAGATGCATTCCTGGTTTTCCACTGAGAAGCTAGACCTGCTTTCAATGAAGTCTTTTGTTCCTTGGATGTCTGAGAAATTTCTCCATATCATGCTCACGATTGCGGGTCTTCGATTACGTGACAAATGTGAGTTGATTTATCAGTACCTTCAATCTGGCCATTGTGTCCCACACTGCTGGTGGAATTGTCCATATATTCCTGAACTTTGCTTTTGACCTTCGATGGTCAGTGACGAGAGTGGGTTGAACCATATGGGCAACACGAAAGCATGAGCATTAGCGAGATACGTACCTTGTGTTTGTGTTTCTGGGTTGGAAATGGTTCAGGATGACGAGTGGAGTGATCGTGTCACTGCCAAGATCGGATTGGAGTCGTTCGTTTACTCTGTGCAGTCAATGATGGATGATGAATAACTGAGGGATAAGATCCTGGAGGAATGTCATGGAAAAGCTTTTGGGTAAGTGTAACGAAACCCTCGAGTGGATTGACGCCAATTGGGTAATTTCATTCGACGCTGTCTGCTGAATGATTTATGATGCTAAATATGGCACCACAATGCTTCAGATGTGATGTACATGATGGTAGAAGGCGCGTTGTTTTGATAATTGATTACATCTTGTGACAATTTGCTCCAACATGGATCATTTTCTCACACGACCTACTGTTCTGTGCCTAATTTTGCTAGCCTTCAGTATTGCCAACAATTCTGAGAACCATCCTGGTAGCCTTGATGGTATTTTTCTTATTTTCCCTCCTTTTCTTCCTCATTTCATTGAGCAGGTTAGATGTCTTTTTATATGTGTTTCATACATCCTATTTTTATACTTCTCTATGTTTGTATTGACATTGTAACTAAAATAATTCACCATACTTGTAAGACACTGTACTCAGAGTTCATTATTTTTTGTGTTCAATGTAGGCATGCTTTGAGGCATAAAAAGATTTTTGGAATCTTGAATATCAAATGGAGTTTTAGTTTCTTATAGGTTGGAGTGATATTATGGAGGTAGTTTTCTTCCATCCCAATGACAGCCCTGTCATGGCAGTCAAAGTGTTAGATGAAAGAAGTCTGACATCAATTTCACCTCTCTTGTGATTTAATGCACTAAAATCTTGGTACAAAAAATTTTTATTGGTGAAACTAAATTCGTTCCAAGTCATGGCAGAAATCTTACATATGGTACATGTTGTATAAATCTTGTTAGAGCAAACTCTTTCATTTCAGTTTGATAAAATTTGTTGTTGGGAAAGTATATTGATTTTCCTGAAATCCTCAATTGGGGCAGACAGATGAGTGGAAAGTGAGATCAAGGTAGAAAACGTCTTCAAAATTCACCAGAACATCCTCTCTTTCAAATGAAGTTGCCAGAAGTTCGTTGTGACAAGATTTTACTGGATTCAATTATAAAAATGTTTGTATGAAGAATTTTTTTGATACTTCGTTGTTTTTAAATTCCGGTGAAGCAGATGGTTTGTCAGGCAAATTTGGTGAAATTGTTCTCTGAGGAATGGTTGTTGGCATGGGGTGATTCCCCCATGATCTTCTTCTTATTTTTGAAATTTTGTTCCTATCAAGTTGAAACTCTCTGTTCATATATATCTCCAGGGGTCCTATGGACTGGCTGAGGCCCACAAGCTGCCATTTCAGCTAGCATCCACATCAGTTCTACATCATTTAAATTGAGGTTTCATTTCTTCTGTGAGCAAGTTTTCTTGATTTTTCCAAACTGAAAGCTGTAGAAGAACAACTCAGCAGTTTTTATTCATTTCTTTTTTCAAAGGGCATCATTTGGGGAGTGATTTTGTGTGCAACTGTGCTATCCTGAGTCAAGAATTGCATTGCCTATAATTATTTTTTGAAAAATGATCCCAAGGCTGATGGCTTGATTTTTTTTAAGCACTCAAACTTTTTGCCAAATCCTAGTCATTCATAAAATGGGGGATGTGTTGAGAACACCACACCCCAGAATTATGCAGTTTGGAGGACCATGAAATGTGGTATTGATAGGTGATACACAATGCTTGGAAAATCATCATCAACTTAGTGATGTAGTACTATATTTCAAAAAGTTTTCTTAGCGTAAGCCCCTATGGAGGGATAGGACAGAAAATCTTTACCAATGAGCACTCCCCATCTAAAATGGTTGATAGGACTAATCACTTCATACATGGATAAAACAGAAAATATCTTGCACATAGAATTGGCAAAAAATTTGAATAATAAAATCAGCACCCTTGCACATTAATTTTGAGAAATACAGCAGTGCCTTCCTGCAATGCTTATTTTGGCACTATGGAATGGGTGCAGTTTTTCTCATAAAAAATTTGTGAAATTTGCATTTACCAGAACTATGAAGAACTGGATTTTTGCCAAGTCAGTGGTGGGTGGATTTAAGGGAGCTGCCATGCTTCAAAAAATTAAGATGTGTATCTCAAAAAACTGAATGTATGTCATCATCAACACTTGTGAGGACTACAGGAAAATATGCTCCCAAATCTTTTGAATGGTGCAATTGCATGCCAGGAAGATCTATCCCGGAGTCCGTTAGTCATTGGGAAACTGACAGTGACTCGCCTCCAGGAATCAATCCGGAAATTTGAGGGTCATGAATAATCTTTTGATCGAAATCCCTGCTCTCTGCCCAAATATTTGTTGGAAGTTGGAACCATTTTGCATGCTACCCTGCAATAAACGTTCCTTTGCGAAATAATGCAGGGTCCAACAATATTATCACGTATATAGTGGTGATGGAGCTGTTTTTCCTGCCACTATCACTGCCTTCATTAATTGCCCCATTGTCAAGCTGAGTTATAGAGAGGAAGACCTTCGGTGAACCTCATCATTTCGTCGTGAAGCATTTCTCGCATTGTTCACACTCCACCAACCATTGCGAGGATTATTGTCATCTCGCGCAACAGGGGAGTCTGTTAATAGTCGTTCGGAAACTTACGGTAACTGGCCTCCAGTAATCATTCCGGTAATTTAAGGGTCATGAATAGTCTTTTGATCGAAATCGACCGTATACAATAAACGTTTCTTCGCGACATATGCCAGGTCCAACAATATAATCATGTCGTCGTGATGGAGCTGTTTTTCCTGCCACTATCACTGTCTTCATTGATTGCCTCGTTGTCAAGCGGAGTTAGAGAGGAAGACCTTTGGTGAACCTCATCGTTTCGTCGTGAAGCATTTCTCGCAGTGTTCACACTCCATGAACCATTGCGAGGATTATTGTCATCTCGCGCAACCGGGGAGTCTGTTGGTCGTTGGGAAACTGACGGTGATGCCTCTTGCTTTGAACTCTTCTTCTTATTGTCCTCCTCCTTGGCCTGTTCTGCCATTAGTCGATCCTCTTGCTCTTGTTGCTGCTTGCGCCTCAGGAAAGTGCGGCGAGTTTGCACGGCGTTGTGGATCATGAGAACCAAGAGGATGACTAGGAATGTGCTGCCGATGCCCGATAGAATGATGCCCACGTTGTGGATGCTCTACAACGGACACAAAATGAAGGCGGATCACGCACGGTTGTTTCATTTCACGGATGATTATGAACCACTCGTAATTCAGAGGAGTATTTAGGATGGTCACCGACCAGACACTTGTTGCTGGAGATATTCATAGTTTCATGTTCTAATCATAGATGTCGAGAGTGTCGAAAGTCATGGCGGCGCGCGGAATTTTTCGGTGGGTCACCGCTCTCATGTATACAAGTGCCCAGTAGAATCTTCACGCATCAGAATGGGATGAGATAGCCAGGGGAATCAGTATCACTAGCCTGGTTGGCGATCCCAGCTGGAGTTTGAAGGGAGCACAGGAAAATGCTGCAGCCGGGATAGAGAAAGAACATGGTGAGGCAGGCGAGTGAATAGCGCACAGCAGCCAACTCGCGCCTACTCAAGAGGCGCGTTGTTCGTTTCTTGGACTTCTCTGCAGTGTTTTCAGCCTTCTCTCCACTGCCAAGGAATTGATTCAGCCATCAGCAGTAGAATTCCGTTATAACCAATTTTTTCAGTATAACGAATTTTTGTATTGGTCCCCGCAGTTTCCCATAGGCTTAACGTTAAGAAAATCTCATAACAACAACCTATAATTTGAGGCTGTGATCTCATTATAAAAATGTGTGTCCATTATTATTTATTATTACGATAGGGTTTGTTTGATATGTATGAAGAAAAAAGAAAAAGGTGAAGCATTCCAACTCCATCAAAAAGGAAAAATTTCACCAAAGAAATCTTCCTGTTGAAAAATTAATAAACATGATGTATTTCTTAGAAATTTGGTAGTCCCACTTTAGATTATATTTGCCTTCATTCCCAATATCCAGTATGTTTGAAACAATTTTCCTCTACCTGCAAGAACATGCATGAATGAAAGTTTTTTCAGAAGGAAGCATTCCTCTTACATGTCCTGTTCACTGTATATTTTGAAACAAATGTCACTTTTTATTAGAATGGCTGGTGCAGTAGGAGGAGAGTACAATTTATTTCAAGTTTTCTTTTCAATTCATCAGGAACTCATTTATGATATAAATATTGAATTAATTGTTTTGGAAGTACTTGAAAGTATTTATTGCCCATTTTATATAAAAATTCAGTCTAAAATGTGCTAGAAATCATGAATCTACACAAAAAAAATTTAGTATGACAAATTTTTGACCAAGTCCATGGGAGTTTGTTGTAGCAAAATTTTTTTGAATAATGAACTTTGAGCACTCATGATACTCATTCTGCAATTAAAGATGGGGCAAAAGTGGCTTGCCTCCTCTTGAACACTGTTTTTAAGCAGTCTACAGTTGCAGTCTACATATGTGTATATCCAAGGGAGCTATTAAGAGTAACACAGTGCTTGAAGCAATGCTTCAGAAATGAAACCACAAAATTTCAATCAATTTCATAAGTTTTAAAAGGTTTAAAACTTTGGTAAATGATAATTTGTGTTTAGCAAGTTTTACAATTTTCTGGTCATCCAAAATTTTGGAAATTTTGATACATTGAGGGAAAGTGTGGAGAATGGCAGCTAGATAGGACATTTGCAAGCTTGTTGAATTTCAGCTCCAAACTTTGCTAAATCTGGATATACTACTTTGACATACCCCAAGTCAAGCTGAATAAAAGTCTATCAAAATACAAGTTGAAAAAATTAAAAAAGTGGCCAGATCAGGTTGAGTTGGGGGAAAGGGTTGAACTGCAAGTCAAACTTCCCTGCAAATTGAACTGTCCAATTGGATGGTATACCACCTGTACTGCGTGCCACCTGGCAATAATAGTTGGCAAGAATTTTTCTGAGAGATTTTTGCATATTGCTCATTTGCCTTAATCCTGTACACAGTCGAGTTGACTCAATTCATTTGTGATTGATGATGACCATTTTTGTTATGATTAATATATGAATCATTAATTCTAATGCTGGTGAGTATAAAATACAACCTACCATGATTGGTTTGTAAAAGATGATGAACTGCCACTTGCTGTCACCTGTGGACAATGCAATTTTTTCGTTTGCTCTTAAATTATTCATTCCGGCCTTATAAATTTGTTCATTGATTACTCAGCTACAGAAGGAAACACAAAAAAGACCTGAATCAAAGTGAATGCCTTCCACTGAAGTCAAGTTTACCAAGTCACCCTCGAAGTCAGAGAGCATGCAAGTGCAAATTCAGCTGTTCTTGATCAATTAAACTTAACTTCAGTGGAGGGGATTCACTGTGATCCAGGTCTTTATCTTGTTTCCTTCTGCAGCTGAATTGTCAATGCAAATTTTATCAGACAACAAAGAAGAATTGAGGAGCAAAAAGAAAATTGCATCTGCCTTCAATAACAGCAAGTGGAGTCATCCAAGACCCATTTTTTGAGGCATCAGAATTGAAGCCAATCCCAACATCTTTCTGAATGGGTTTACAAATTTGTCAGGACTTACTTCAAAGTTTTGTGCATGATTGCCATTTGTTTTGCACCTGTATATACTGTATGGATAAATACATGACACATAGACAGTGAGACCCCCCAAATGCGGGCACCTTGACCTGCAGACAATTGGACACTTATTTTCCACAAAAAAATCAATAAGAATGCATGTCTGGTCAGCCGCCGGTCAGTCAATTCATGGTCGCACAACTGCCAGCCGTCAAGCGCAGGCCAGTCCAACTGCCAGCCTGGGCAGTCCTTGGTATCGCCAATCCCCAGCCCACCAAACCGCGGTCCGGTCACCCAATTTTTGGGGCACTCAAACAATCGGGTGACAAGAATCATGCTGATTTTTTCCAGATTTCAGTGAGCAGAATGGTATCCTACCACAGATTTTTTTTTCAAAATTTCAGGAATGTTAGGTTAGGTTTTAGGTCATTTTATGTTATGTTAGTTTAGGTTAGGTTGGTTAAGATATGTTAGGTTTGGTTAGGTTAGGATATGTTAGTTTAGGTTAGGTTGGGTTTGATGAAGTTTTTCTTTTTATGAAAATTTTTATAAGATGAAATTTTGTAAAAAAAAAAATTATAATCTGTGGTAGGATAGCATTCTGCTCACCGAATTCTGGAAAAAATCAGAATAATTCTTGTCACCCAATTGTTTAGGTGCCCTAAAAATCAGGTGACCAGACCTCAGTTTGGTGGGCTGGGGATTGGCGATACCAAGGACTGCCCTGGCTGGCGGTTGGACCGGCTGGGGCTTGAAGGCTGGCAGTTGCGCGACCGTGAATTGACCGACTGGCGGGTGACCCGGCACCATAAGAATGGCCCAACTGGATGACATTGACTAGATGGTGGATGCCCATCTTGCCTGAGCTAATATGTGCTCTGCTAAAATATGAGCCAGTGTGCCCCTGCAGCCCCTCACTCCCCAAGTGCATCACTCTCTCCTTGAAGCAAATCTATGAGAGAGCTGAGACAGTGTGTTTAAGGGGTATAAACAGTGTATCAGGACAATGAGTACTCATTTACCTCCAAAACTTTGCTGTGAATAAATTCATAAAGGGAAGCATATAAATACAGTTCCTTTGTGTTATCCTCATCACATACTAATCAATTGAATTTCTTTTTTATTAATTTTTTAATCAATGGTTCCTACAGAGCCCCCAGCCAGGACTGCTGGAGGGGAACATTTCCTGTTTTTCCAACTTCAAAAATTTGGAGAAAATTTAATTTGAAATTAAACTTCAAATTTTGTCAAATGTAGCAAGTGCCATTCCAATTCCAACATTTTCTTTTTGGAACATCTAATGCAGTTCATAAGTGATGGAGATACATCAGTGAAAAACACAAAAATGATTTTTGTACAAAAACTGATTAACAATTATTTTTATTTTTCAATTTATGGAGATTCATTTCACATTTAAGAATATCTAAATTTGTAAAACTTCTGTGCACACACAGCCACATGGAAGTTTTTCTATTGTTAGAATATTAAAAAAAAGGCACAAAAACACTAATAACAGCCCATACCTTGCAGTAACTTACTGCAAGTTGAGGGAAGTGCTGTAACCTCACAGTATGTTACTGCAAGGTTACAGCACTTCTATAACCTTGCAGTAACTTACTGCAAGGTTGACAAAGTGTCATAACCTTGCAGAACTGTTCTGCAAGGTTATGGCAGTGCTGTAACCTCTCAGTAGCATACTGCAAGGTTACAGCACAGCCTCAACCTTGCATTAACTTACTGCAAGGTTAACTAAGTGTCATAGGGAGATTTTGTGATACAATTGCAAATACATTTTCAGGTCAAATTACAGGAAGCAGATATTTCCAAACCATATGTATATATGTATGTATATATGTATTTCCATATGTAAGAAAAGATAATGGTTGTTTCTCCCACCAATTTTAACATTCATTCTGCTAATTAAAAAAATTTCAAGAATGTGTTACAGTCAAACCCCAATAAGATGCCACCATTTGTCCAGAACAATTCTGGCAGTTTGAAGGGGTTGGCGGTTTATCAAATATTTCATTTTAAATCATTCATTCAAAAATACTTGATTTTCCTTCAAAAATAATAAAAATACAAGTTTTCCATGAACTTCAGTTATTTTACATAGAGTATTGCTGTGATTTATGCATTACTCCTTCAGAAAATTAATTTTTCTTTACCAATTTCTTCAAATTTTAAAATTAAGTATATATATTGTCAAACGCCTTTGAAAAATTAAGATTTTCATTTTTTTTATTCTTATGAATACAAGATCCCGGACAGAAAATATAATTGTACCCCAATGTTGGCATTGTAACAAAGACAAAACTAATACAAAACAGCACTTTTGTTTCATCACTAATGCAGGTAGATGGGGTCTTATTGAGGTTTTCTATGGCATTTAGTATTGAGGATATTTGTTTCCCTAAAAATTTTGGTGGTTGCCAAGGGTGTCGCTTTATGGGGGAGTCTTGACAGGGTTTGACTGCATAAATGAAATGTGCATAAAATGGAAGTCACAGCATGCTGAAATTTTGGGAATTTATAGAGATCATTTTTTGGTGTTATAGCTCAATCACATGGATAATTTTTCATCATCATCATCTTCTGGCATTCACAAAAATTTTCTCCCACCCCTGTGAACTCACTTTGTGCCTGTGGCATTGGGCGCCTCTTCGTCCCCACTGTCCAAAGCAGAGTCGTCACTAGAGTATTCCTCCTGCTGGCGTTCGTGCTCCACAACCGCCATGAGTAGAAAGTCGGGCTCGTCGTCCTCGTCGCCCTCGGGAGAGGCGGAGGGACGCCACTGCCTGCCCTGCTGCAGGTGTGGCGTCGATGCAAACCGCGCCGACAGATACTCTTCGCCAGACGTCCGCCCTTGGGAATTGGTGCCATGACGATCATGATGCTGGGTGAGACTCGTGCGACGGGTAGAAGAACTCAGGATGGACTGTAAAATATTTTCATAATACTAAAGTAGAGCATTAATTGTCTGGAATTTATTATATATTCAGTGAGACCCCAAGATGCAGACATAATTGGTGCAACAAGAGTGTCCCCAAGTCAAAATGTCCCTAAGTTGAGTCTTGTTTTCCCATAGACTTAAATTATATAATTTTTAAGTGGTGTTTTTTGGAAGAAATATTCTTCAGGATTCCCTGAAAAAAAATTGTTTGCCATTTGCAATAGAATTAGTAAATACATTTTCAACTCAATAAGAACATTTGGAGCATTGAATAGTGTATATCTGTATAGTACACTGAAATTTTGGAATCTACAAAAATAAAATTCAAGTGAAAAAAGTAGAAGTCACTTTATGCTGGAGGTAATTTTTTTAAATTAGCTAAATTGATGGTAATTTGGTGAGAGAAATGCCCAAGAACTCAATTTTATCACAAAATGTCCCTATGTTGAGTCAGTGTCCTCATCTTTGGCCTTATTTATTTAGTTTTTTTCTGGGAAAATAAGTGTCTGTATGTCAAATTGTCTGCAGGTCAAGGCATCCACATGTGGGGGTTGCACTGTATATATATTTTTTAATTTGAGCCTACAAATGTTGCTTCATCATCCAACCTTGATATAATGTCAGGAATAAATCCTAAAAAATAGATAATATGGAAAAAGGTTGAATTTCAGATCATTCTCAAAAATTATGACAGAATTTTGTTGGGCTGCGACTGGGGGGAAAATTCACCGTATTTTAAAGTTGTTGTACTTCAAAAATGTTCAAATCATGCATTGAATGGTTTTACGCGCAAAATCATTGAGTGAATCACACAAGAGCTTGAATGGAAGTGAGTTTTCTTGCCAAATTTGGAAAACAGGAAAACTGCCCTCCAAGGACAAAAAACAGCAACAGAGGACTTTAGCAATAAAATACAGCCTTGAAGGATCTGAGAGAAATGTGAGAACCAAGGTATTCCTTGATTGTCACAGAGATGAATGAAGACAATTTCACTGTGATTTTGGGTTCTCAGATTTTGTGTAACAAATTGAAGGCTTCCATTTATTTTTGCAACATAATATTCATAGTTTCTTTTTTCTCTGAAGAAAAATTTTTATTAGAGGAAAGTCAAACCTTTTTAGGTTGCCTGGCACGACTTTTCCTTTCCATGCTGTTCTCATTGACAGCTGCATCATCAATGCCAACTTGCAGTTGTTCACCTTGTCTGGGACCATTTGACAGAATACCTTGAACTGTGCTTTTGCCTTGCCATTGTTCAGAGGCACCTGAAAATGAAAATAAAATGTTTGTCTCCACAAGCAATCAAAATTTATTATTTACCAGGGTTTGTTCATAAAAGATGATAAACTGCCACTTGCCATCATTGAAGGAAAATGCAATTTTTTTCTCTTGCTCTCAAATGCTTCATTGGTGTCTAGATTTTTAATGGATTACTACGCTACAAATGGAAACCAGAAAAAGCTCTGTTTCACAGTGAATGTCCTCCACTGAAGTGAAGTTTGATTGATCAAGAGCAGCTGAGTGCACACTTGCATGCTTAAAGACTGTGTTCTCCAACCTTTTTGGACCCATGGACCAACCAATTTTCCAACAATTTTCTTGAGATGGGCATATTCCATAACATTTTCTGCAGACTGGCAGCATTCCATAAAATGTTTGCACACTACCAGAAAATAATTCAAATGCCTTCCATAAAGTCCCCAAAACAAAACTTTTGTTTAAAACATTAAGTTGAGAAGCAATGAAGCAGATAGTATGCAATGTCTTTGAAAAAATTAGAAAGCTTGGCCTAAACAATGGTTTCCCAGAAGGAAAACTGGAAATAATTTACTACAGCAGGTGAAAATTAAGGGTATTTGTTGAAGGGAAGCCAACTTTTATTCTCATCAGAAAATTTCAATTGCTTTTGTCTTTCTAAACCATCAGATAACAATAACAGACTTCATTACAACTTCTGATGAATTTTCTGTATTATACTGAAAATTTCCCATGGATTGGTGAAGTTCTGTGGACCAACCACAGCAGTTGGGGAACACTGCTCTATGACTTTGAGGGGATACTTGTTGGACTTCACTTCAGTGGAAGGTATTCAGTGTGATCCAGGCATTTTTCTTGTTTCCCTCTGTAGGTGAAAAGTGGATGAAAAATGTGTTAGACAGAAATGGAGCGCAGAGTTAAAAAATCATCTTTTTTCATGAACCATCCCTGGTATTTCCTCTTCTCTGAGATCAATGTCAACTCAACCTCTTTTTTGCTTGTCAATTGACTTCAATTTGACCTTTCCCACTTGATTCTGCTGCTCTCCTGGTTTCCCACTAAATGAGCCTTGTTGGGAAGTAGTCCTGATGTAACGAATGCTGGAGTCTCCACTGTTTTCAGCAGACTTGTCACTTTGCATGGCATTACTCATGGTTCTGATGATTTGAAGGTGTGAGTTGCGGATTTGTGGTTCTGTGGAGCCACTAGTGTGACCTTCAGACACTGACAATGAAGTCCTTAGTTGAAATTTGGGCTCATCTGAGGATATGGAATGTAGGACACTCCTTCTTGGTTTATCAGATTCAGAAGAAGATTCCATTTTTAAAAGGGGGGATTGATGATCAGGATTCAATTGGACCAGGAGAGTAAGAATATGGATGTAAGGTTTTTACTTTGAGGGTGTTTTCAAGCAAAAACCTTCTGCTTCTGACTTTCACAGGGATTTCTTGACAGAGATGGAAATCCTTCTGAAATGCCCATTTGTTTCTTTTTCACCAGAACACAGTTTAGGAAGGATGAGAATTTTTCATTTCCTTGGTCTTGGGGGTTCATAGTCAAACCTCTGTAAGTTTAATTTCAAGGGACATGCAAAAATTTTTACAAAGAAGTGTCTGCATAGTAACCAATCTTGTTGTCCATCAGACAAAGCATTTACAAAAATTCTATGAATCAAATCAATATCCATCAACTATAGAAAGCTAACTTCCATGCAGTGTATTAGAAAATCATGAAATATTGTTTGAAAAAAGTGAAACACTCCACAATTCATACTGGAACTGAAACCCAATCAGAATATATCTTCAGGTTTTGTTGACAACTTGCACATCCAATCCACAGAGGTCGCCATCATATGTTGTGCTGGAAATCACAGGGCAATTTTTGACCACCAATTGGCCCAAAGCCTGGACAGTTCTTGGAAGAATGGACAAATTCCAGGTGTAATGATTCCAGTAATGTATCAATGAGCTGATTTCAGATGTTTTCAAAACCTCAATTGCTAAAATTTCATCAACAGCAAACATTTTCTGCCATTGATCAGAAAGTAGAGGGTAAAAAATATCTGTTGGCCGAACACACACAAAACGTTTTAAAAGCACAAATAATGGTTAGAATTCCACATGGGTTTCAGAAAACCAACTTGACTCACTAAAAGGTGGCACCATTATTCCTTTACAACTTTTTGGCTGCAGAGTTTCTGATGCATTAAACCCACAAAATTGCTTGATTGCCTTTTATTATCATCATTTAAGGTCCATTAGCTGTCCAATCTTTTGGATTATAGCTAAGGAATAAGGTGAAAACAATGTGTGAGAAAAATGCTTCAATGAATTTCAAAACTCTTGTGAGAATATTACTTGGCAACAACTTCTTTGAAGTAATTCTCCAAAACAGGATGGTTCTTGGGAAATGCCATGACACCATTTGCAGCTCCATGGATCAAGTGAACCCCAATGGCATTCACCAGGTCATCCGTTGGTTTCAACACAATCACATCAGCATCCCGATATAGGCCTCCATATTTGTACAGTAGGGCACATCTCAAAATGTCACTCATGTGCCCTGTTTTGAACTCACTCTTTTCAAGCAACTTCTTGTCCAACCAGTGCTCAATCACTGTTCCATTGAGCAACTCATGCATGTCCACAGCAGTGAACATGATATTTGGATACACTCAGGACCATGTTTCAGCTCCACAAGGAAACATCAAGTGTTTGCTTGTCACACTCACAACCACTGGTCTTTGTGGGTGTTGCAGAACTGCAGACTCAACAGCACAGAGCTGCTTGGGACTCAAAATTGGCAACCCTGTGGTCTCCAAGAAAAAGATGGGATTCTCAGGAATATCTTTTTCCTTTGATATTGACATTTTTCTCATTTCTCCCTGTACATTTCCCAAGTTATTCTGTGTTCCATTTGACATTGCCGTGTGATACCCCAGTCCTTCTGTATAAGAGGGTGAAGAAGGCAGCACCACAGTATAATAAAACAACAAAAAGGGTGAAATACACTTTTCCGTATTTCAGCCTGTTAAAAAGAAGCATTCCGTAAGTGATCTCATTTTTAATGACACACCAGACATTCATGGTGAAATAAAAATAAAAACTCAGGAAAAAATAATTCAATAGTTGTGAAAGAACTCACTCATGAGAATTTCAAATGAACCACTCAAGAAAATGAATTCAGAAATTTCTCAGGCTGCTCTATGTCTCTGATTTTTAAGTATTGTAACACATCAAAATGTACACTGGACATTCAAGAAAAATATTAAAATAATGATGTCATCACAAACTTTGACTTCAACTTTGTAAGTACAGTTTGTTGTCCTTTCTCTTACAGGACTGTGAGTCAAGAAATGAAGGAACACAGTCCTTATTTCTGGTTAACACACTTGTTATCCTTTTTATGTTATTTTTACTTTAAAAGACAACAACAATGAATAAACTAAGGGAACGTTAAAAGAGTGTCTGGCTCTTTTAGAGGTTCTTAACCCCTTGATCGCGGAGTGGTGAATTCCAACGACGCGAGACCTTCGAGAAAATAGACAGGCTTTTCACCCAATAATTGCTTTTATTCAAGCACAAAGACAACTCAGACAAAACCAAGACAATGCGTCTGGAGGGAAGCCTAAACGAATCTCTGACTCCTGAAGAGGATCTGTGATCAACTGACTTTGGAAGAGATTTGCAGGGGTTTTTATATTGCTAGTCTTGGAGGCTGGTTCAGCCATGTGGTTATTAGAGTCAATGACATAAAGGGGTCATAAGTCTAGCCAGGAACTTTGTGCAACACCAGTCTAGTATTTAATGGAAACTCTGTTGCTGAGAGGGGGCTGCTGGAGGCAGTATCAGGTAACATGGAGGCATACATTGTAATCTCGAGAAACAGTACTGGAATGCTTGACTCTGGTTTGTATCAGAGGCAAGCATCCGGGAAACAGAGTTTCGATCAGCAGAAGAGTTAATGTAAACAAAAAGGGCATGAGCTGCATCAATGAAAAAGGTGCACTACAAAAGATGCTGGTGAAAAGTCACCACAATCGGTTTTTTAACAGGTTCACACAAGTGAAACCTTTGAATGATAAAAAATACCATTCGTAACACACTTTATACAACACTCTCATCCAACTCAGACATTCAATACAGGTACAACAACACAAGTTCACAAATATACAAGTCCAGCTTTTACTTTAAGTTCAATTGGGATTGAGCTTTACCAATTTTAAAGTCTTAGGGGTTTTCTCTAGGAAGCTTGGATGAGATCTCTCTTGATTTCACTCCAAGCACAGTTATTTAAACCTGGTCACCAGGAAGGGCAGAAATGGGGGAAAAATCACTGACCCCCTAATGATAGAAAACCTCAGACCCATGGAATACTTGGAAGGGAATTGCTCAACAGAGTGAAACACATTAGCTACAGTCACGCATCAGCAGTAATGAATTGATAAAACAAGGGCACCAAAGTATGAATGTCACTTCCACTAATTGATGAATTGAGCCTACCAGGATACCAAGAATGATAATGGTTCAATAATGGTTCTTTTTGAAGTTTCACTAGAATCTTGATGAAAGTCTAAATGACTTGTCATCAAGGAAAATTGCAGAGACTTTTCTCACTCTAGCAATTTCCTACTTTCTTGGGTTTCTGGAAAAAGGGGTTTCTTGGAAAGTTCTGTAAGGGTCTTCCTGAAATTTCTGTATTTCAAGATAACAAACTCACCCTGCACAAAAAAGGTTCCATCCTTTTCTAGAAAGTCAGCAGAAAAAGAACAGCAAGTTAACCAAGTGCAAGACTCAGTGCAACAGTGCTCTATTTTCTGTTGCCAAAGCTTTCAGAAGTCATAAAGGCTTTATGGGAATGGCAATTGTTATTACCAAACCTCAGGAGGAATCAGGCATGGATCCAACAGATGTTTGGATCAAGAAGAATGATAATATCTTCTTTAGTTGGCATTGAGTGCCATTTCTTAACGGATGATCCATTGGGCCTGCAATTTTGGCGGTTGACTTTGGTGAGCAGTGTTAGCTTACGCTAATTTTTTCAAAACTTTTGGGCATTAATTTAACAATTTTTGTTCCAAATGACGCAGCGTTGTAACAACTTCCTGTGCAACAAAATTGTTGGAAGTTGATGGGTCTCCTGGAGCTGGTAGCCTCAAATATTGTTTTGCAAATCATTCATTTGCTCAGTGACTTTGTGCTGATAGGACTCTTCAACTTTCTCAAGAGGAGACTTCAACAACTGAAAAGTGAGTACCCAAAAAAATTTTGTTTCAGAAATAACAGTATTTTCAAAAATGTTCACAGATGGCGTTCCTGAGGATTGTGGCATTGCTGCTGTGGCTGCTGGTTGGTGCTGGTGCAGACTGCAGTCCATAAGACAGTGTGTTCCAGTGTCGGGACATCTGCGGCAAAGAAGTGAGGGGTGCCGGCAGCTATGGACGTCAGGTGACATTCATTGGGGCAATGCTGTTTTTGGACTGCGTCAGGCAGGCGGACCTCAAGGTGAGTTTTTTGACAACAGCGTAAGAAAGGCAGGTGTAATAGCCAATCTTATTTTGCAGGAGGTGAAGCTGCTGTTGCCAACAGCCTGCATCGGGCTTTGGTCCAACATGGACCGTGTTGTGATGCCATGGAGGTGGTGCAACAAAGTTGTACCACCCAAAATGGAGATCTCAACGGCGGCAGTTCCACTGGTGGTTGGTGAGTTGTTTCAGCTTTTCCACACAACATTAACATTTCAAAACACAACTCACATCACACCGCTTATATCACATAACAACATAACATACAAGGGTTCTAACAAAAGTTCTCGGAATGAAAATGAAGATGGCGTCTAATTGAGCTGGAAAAAAAAATTATTCTTTAGGGCAACCATATTCTTTGGCACAAAAAAATCAGCCCAGTTTGAAAATTTTTTTCAATTTTTCGCAAAGTTTACCCTGGCAGAGTTTTACTGTACACTCAACAGATGAGGCACCCTTCCTGCAGCTTTTTTTTTGTGGCCCAGTTTCCCCCTCAGAATTCTTGAAATCAACTTGGCATTTTCCCTTAGGGTTGCCTCCAGGTCATCTAAGGCAATTCCGCCATTTTCATCAACAGCCGCCATCACAGTTGCCGCCATCACAGTCGCCAAAGTGGTGGCCACTTTTTTTCCAGCTCAAAAGTGGCGGCTGTGACAGCGGCTGTTGATGAAAATGGCGGAATTGCCTTAGATGACCTCGAGGCAACCCTTAGAGAAAATGCCAAGTTGATTTCAAGAATTCTGAGGGGGAAACTGGGCCACAAAAAAAAAGCTGCAGGAA